TGGACTGAATGACACAGCTCCATTTCATTCAATTTCCTCCCTTAGGTTTATAAAAAAGTTTCTGAGCCCTGGCCGGTGTGCTCAGTGGTTGGAGCATCCAAAGGGTTGCAGGCTCAATCCCCAGCCCCGGTTGGGGTGTGTACGGAAGGCAACCAATCAATGTGTCTCTCTCTCCCCCCCAGTCCCTCCCCTTCCACTCTAAATAAAATAAAATAAAATTAGCCTTAACCAGTTTGGTTCAGTGGATAGAGCATCGGCCTGCGGACTGAAAGGTCCCAGGTTCGATTCAGGTCAAGGGCATGTATCTTGGTTGTGGGCACATCCCCAGTAGGAGGTGTGCAGGAGGCAGCTGATCGATGTTTCTCTCTCATCGATGTTTCTAACTCTCTATCCCTCTCCCTTCCTCTCTGTAAAAAAATCAATAAAATATATTTTAAAAAATAATAAAATAAAAAAATTAATGGGAAAAATATGGAACGCTTGATTTCTCCTAAGCAATGATACATTGATTAGCCATTCAGCTGTGTGCAAGGATGGCAGAAGAAGTTTCATTCTGAAGTCTACACAAACCATCAGTCAACAAGAGGCACAAATTCATGCCTCCGTGGCTCACCACTGTGTCACAATGTGGCATGAACTAGTTGTTTGTTTTTTAAAAAATTATAATTTCAGCAAGACTTACAATTTATTTTTAAAAATGGACTGTTGGACACACTTTGTAGAACCAGGGAGTTCCAAAGAACGTAGCTGGATATGCTGCGAAGTATTGGAGCCTACGGAGAAGAGGGAAGAAGTGGGGGTGGCGGGTTCTCCAAGCCATTTACAATCTGGTAAATTCAGACTTAACCTGGTCACAAAATGCCTGTTGGAGTCTCAGTTTCCCCACTTGCACAGTGAGGTGGTTCATAAGGAGTTCCCAAAACACCAAATCTAGTGGCAACAGTATGGCCCTGCCTGCTATGATTCAGTTTGGGGACAAAGTAATAAAGACCTTGCATCACTAGCAGAGTCATCATGGGATGGCTGGTGATGCCCAGGCTCTGCTCTGAGACTCTCCCTGCCAGGTATGACTAAAACTCTGGCTGAGTCGTTGGTCTCTATTTCCCTTTTGTCTATACAGATATAAGTAAGTGGCACCATACACCACATTTGACATGGGAAGTACTTAGAAATGTTGACATTAGAATGACTCTATCTAGAATTTTAGCTCGTCTCATAGACATTCTATTGGATAAGCATATATTCCTGAAACATTTCTGCCACCGAGATTATATAAAGGCACCCGTTGTGACTTTTACGTATCACTCATGTGCAATGGAAAGGCCTTCCCTGTAACCTGTTCTCCTTGGTTTTCCACAAAGGAACCATTTCAATCAGGCCAAAACAATTGATTTTCATGGTTTCAGAGAAGCTTTTCTGAAAAAAGTAACCCATGCTAAGTGAAAAGGTCCCCACTTCTCTTCACATCTCCAGCTCCTCGTCTCACAAGGGGCCTCTGATGCTCACAGACACTCTGCCCCTACGCCTGCGAACTGCTGAGGGAGCACACAGGGGGACAGTCTGCTGTTAGGAGGAAGAGCCTGAGGATTGCTCATGCAGTTCCCATTTAGCCAGGGAATTCCCATGCCCTGAGTGTGGCAGGGTGTGTCTTGGGCTCCAGGTGGCTTATCTCTTTGGTATCCTGGGTTTCATGCCCCATGAAGGGAGGCATGGCTGAAGCAGGGCCAGTGCAGCCTCCTCCGAAGCATGAGACCCAGGCCAGGGGGCCCTCCTGTCATGTCTAAGGTATACGTTGTAGCTACCCACATCTTCATTCCACAACCTTTTAAGCAATAGGTATGAACAGGGTGCATGCCTGATTGTATATGAGCAGTCACGACCCAAGACGCCCTACCCACCCCTGAGTGCCATGCTGGAGGCAGCCCAGGACAGTGAGGTGTCTACAGGCGCTTACCCTCCTTTACCAGGTGGAGGCAAGTTAAATCATGTGGACGTATGTTATCACACACTCACAGCAACAACTACAGTCCAGGCTTAGTGACTGTCCTCAATTAATAACTACCCAAAAGGCTAACTCCTTCAAGGAGCTCACAGCCCCATAACTAACCCCCCCCCCCAATAATTACAGACAAGACAGAAAGCAGTATCGAGAAAGACATTAATAAGACGTCACTCTGAAATCACTGAGGGCGAAAGGGAGGGATTAAGTCCTGCAGGAGGTACCAGGAGGGAACATCCGAGCCAGGCTTTGGAAGGTCGGTAACACATCAGCATTCCTCCTGCTGTAAAGCGTCAGTTTCGAACCAGTTAACTTGCAATGCCTTTAACATTCCTCAGATCAAGTCAATTCCCAGTTCCTGTATGACATAACCCACGAAAAAATGTGTATTTTCAGGAAGTGGAAAAGTAAATACCAGTTTGGTCTGGAAAATTGCGATTCCGAGTCTTTATATGTCACCCTGTGTATGTGAACCAATACATCACTATGCTAAATGGACTTTTTCCCTTTAAATAAATAAATAAATAAAAAGCAACGGGGAAAATTTGAAATGCAGTACCCTGTAAGAATCACACCTTTTATTATTACCATTAAATTCCAACCCTCACTTTCAAGGAAAGTCTGCATTTGTTCCAGTGTCTTTTTTTTTTTTTTTAACTTTATACAGAGTCAGCAGCACAAACCAGATACTGAAAAATCAGGTTATTTATGATTGCCTTCCCGCTTTTCTCTCTGAAATAATTGGCCTGCATTTTCCTGTCTGGACCTATCAACTTTCGGCAAGCATGGAATGTTAATTGAAGTTACCCACAAGCTGGGCTACCATTCCTCAAATTTAATAAGAAAAAAAAAATCAAAACCAATTGAGTTTCCTGTTTTTATTTATGGGTTTTAGTACCCAGTTAGGGGAATCAAAATAAAGTGTCTCAGTGATGGCTCATTCTTCCCTCAATTAATGTCCTCAAGGAGACCAGTTCCTCCCATCTGCTCCTGGGATGACTGTCCGGATCATCAAGCCTATTCAAGCTTCTCCCCAGGGTCCTGCTACAACATGCGCAAGTACTTCCTGGGGAAGCCTGCAGCCTACCTCACCCTTCCCACTTGGAAGCACACAGACTCAGCCCTTTCTGGTGTGATTATATAAGAATACAAGGCTTGCCTGACCCAGCCCAAAACTGAGGCGTGTCCTTTAAACATCATCCTGTGCCTGGTCTTCTCAGAAACGATGGTGCATGCTGGACAAAGAGGAGACAAGTACTATGTATCTTTCAATAATAATGGGGACACATTTCCAAGGAATCCCCTTTCAAAATTCAGATGCTCTAGGTAAAGTATGTCAAACTCATGGCGGGTGGGCCGCATGCCTCATTTAAACGTGAGTTTGACATGCTTGCTAAAGTATGTAATGTTGGGGAAAGTATGTAACCTCACATGTGCAGGTTGTAGTATCCCCATTCCAGGGGTTTGGAAGCAGAAGACTTTTGTAAACTGAACGTCTTTCTAAGGCAAGTTACCTCTCTCAGAGAATTTCTAACTCCCAACTTTCTACTTCTCAGCTGAGGCATTAATGGAATGTGGGGAAACAATTTTTGTTGTGCAGAGTATCAGCCTCCTCGTAGCCGCTTCCATCCCCCGAGTCACTGTGATCACAAGGCACGGTCATACATTTCTCAACGACGCTCCACCCCCGGGAGGGTGCTGCCCCTGATGGAGAACCACTTCGAGGCTAAAGATGCTAAACATAAAGGGCACTGTATGCTCCCTGTGCTGTACTTCACATCCTGAGGCTGTTTTTACAACTAGCAACTTGTATGTATGAATCCCTTCCCCTTTTCCACCCATCCCCCCAGTCTCCCTCCCATATGTATGGTGTCAAGTGGGTACTAGACATATGGGGGCGGGGGTGGGGATAACTTCATAAGTTATAGAAATGTCTAATCACTATGCTGCACACCAGAAACTAATATAATATTGTTTGTCAACTGTACTTGAACCATGTTAAGGCAGAACTCAATGAAAATAAAACATAAAAAAGCTGGGTTATATGTGAAAAATGACATATTTACCCGAGAGGATTGTCTTAAGGCTTAATCTAATGCTTTGAGGGCCATTTCTATAGTCATCATAGAATCAAAGGGATCCTCCACATCAACTCGATGCCCCAGATCAGTAGCACAGCAAAGGGCATTCCTTGCTTATTTTTTAAACCTATGCATGAATTCACTGTATGTAAAGCAGGCTTTTCAAAGAGCAGGGTTATCAGTGCCTACATCCAGGCTCCTCTTTTTATCTTTTGGGTGCAGAAGTTTATAAAAATTCATCTCAGAAACAATGAACTAGAAGGAGAAATAGAAGCTACACCAAAGTCAATAGCTATTTTGTTTTTTTGGGTCTGAATGAGACATAGAACAGGATATCATAACTGTAATGCTTTAGCAAAACAGAGCCCTTTCTCTTTTGGCCTGGCTGAGCCTGTGCCCGGCAGGGTGGTGCTACTGGTTTATGGGCCAGCCAAGTTCAATGCACATTTAATTTTTTTTTTTTGCACAGTTGACAGCAGAGCTTCATAGGAGTGCTTTCACACCCTTGTGCAGGCACCCTGGCTGCTCCTCCCACCAGGATGCTGCAGACAGGTCAAGGTTCCTGGTGCTCTCTTTTCCCCGACCTTGGACTGTGCTTCCCCCTGACATTATATATACGCAGCTCTGAAAAGAGCGTTATGACAAACAGCATTTGGAAATTTGTAACTGATTCCTTCTAGTGGCTAAGATGCAACAAGCTATTTCTGCAAAGGGCCCTGCCCACAACAAGCCCAGCCCGATGTGTCTGTAGCTGTGAGCAGAATGCTTTCCTCCTCCCCAGGGCTATAGAAAACAGTGCAGAGGTTCTGCCCTCCAGCTGACCACCGGTAATAACAACACTGGGGGCAGGGAATGGGGGAAGTTTATCATCCAAAAGAGGAAAAACGAGTTTAAGGACAGAACAGCACTTTCTCACTCACCACTGAGGTCAGAGCCATCTGAAAACTGTAGATGCGGGCAAGGCCGAAGTCAGCCAGTTTTATTTGTCCGCTGCTGGTCACCAGAATGTTCTGTGGTTTTAGATCACGATGCACTACTCGGTGAGAATGAAGAAAGTCCAGACCTCGGAGAAGCTGAAACATCATATCCTAAATAAGACCAAAGGAGAAAATCAATACACAGTCAAAACAGAAGTGCAACCTGCCAAGCCCTCGGCGCTCAGGGGAGTGCCTGGCACACAGAAAGCATTTGAGAAACATTTGCTGAATGAATGAATCTGTCTCCCTTCCTACCTCTCGACTCTCCCATTCTCAAGATCACTACAAAAATGGTTACTCTGGAGCTGTACTTTATTAATGAAAGGACAATTTAAAAATAGTTTCAGATGGCATAGGAAATATTCTGGAAGAACATATACCAAACTGGTGTCAGTGGTTAATGCTGGGGAGAGGAACTGGGAGAGGTGATGGGGAGAGGGGAATATTTTTTACTTTGTATACTTCTATATGGTTTAGTATTTGATCTCAATAGTTGAAGTCTAGTGAATAATAATATTCATAGTAATTATTATTTTATAGCACCACATATTAAGCTGACATTGTGTCAAGCACTGTTCTAAGTAACTTCTATTTAGTAGCTCACTCAATCCAGACCACAACATTAAGGTAAATAATATCATCACCCCATTTTACAAGTCAAGAAAGTGATACACAGTACGTAATTAGCCCAAAGTCACACCACTAGCAAGAGACAGTTTTGTTTCAGAAAGTCCAGAAAAAGTGAATTCAAATTCCCAATGCACTCCTTTATCAGATCAATGATGGGACGAGTAGTGGGTACAACCAGATAAGCCATTTAACCTCGCTGAGCCTCAGTTTTCCCATCTGTAAAATGGCAAAGTACCAAAACCTATTTTGTAGGATCATTGTTTGTAAAGCACTAAGCATAGTAGCAAGCATTCAATACATGGTAGCTGTTATGGCCATACTTAACCAGCATAAAGCAGGGGGCATTCAGAAAATAAACCAATAAAATCACATCTCTTTCTAATTTTAGAACTGATAAAATTAGATAGAAGATTTAAAACTCAGAAACAGTGTCTGAAAGTAGGAATTCAAAATTTGACCGTGAGACGATACTCTGAAATCTGGGGTTAATAAGATTGATCTACCTCTCAAAATATTGTGAGAATGGTGTATACAAGGGAGGACAGACGTTATCTTGTTCATATAAAGGTTAGAAAAATGATTAGGCAGCATCATGGGCTTCACGGCTGTGGGGTGATGTGGTGTGAGGACACACACTAATCAGCAGCTGGACCACTAAGCCCCTCGCTGAGAACAGCATATTTGGTTATTGGTTTAAGGTACTAGTTCTTCCTTTAGAGATGGGAGTTCTGTTTTCACATCCCAGCTTGTTTACAATTGAAGCCTTAGCTTCTCTATTTACATAATGGAGAAAATAGTGCTTCCTTTCACACCATTATGAGATTTAAATGAAGTACTGTATGCAAAGGGGTTATGAAGTTTCTGGCACATGGTATCATTTAACTGTGATAATTGTCAAAATGTACTGTTTCCTGGGGGAGACAGAGTCACAAGCAACCACAGGAAAATGTGGTCAGTGCCATCAGGTCAGGGCACAAAGGGCTAAGGGTGGGTATGCAATGACACCGTGAACTGGGATCTTCCTGAGATCCACCTAGATGGGCACAGTCCTCCCCGCTTCCCCGCATTTCACTCTCCACTGTTTCAATGACCCACAGTTAACTATGGTCCTAAAAAACTAAACGGGAAATTCCAGAAATAAACAATTCATATGTTTTAAATGCTCTTCTGAGTAGTGGGATGAAATGTGTGCTGCTCCACTCTGTCCCCCCTGGAACACGGGCCATCCCTTTGTCCAGTGTGTCCACATTGAATACACTACCCGGCTGTTAGTCACTTGGTAGCCCTCTCAGTCATTAGATTGGTTAACAGATACTTTGAGAGAGAGAGAGAGAGAGAAAGATGGGTTGGGGGTGGGAGAGCAAGGGGAAGAGGGAGAGAGTGAGCACATTCTCATAACTTTTACTACAGCATAATGTTATAACTGTTCTACTTTATTAGTTATTGTTAATCTTTTACAGTGCCTAAGTGATAGGTTAAACTTTATCATAGGTATGTAAGTACAGGAAAAAACATAGTCTATATAGGGTTTGGTACTACTGTGGTTTCAGGCATCCACTGTGGATAAGGGGAAACCTACTATCTTCTGAATCTCCAAAGGTGAAAACTGTGGAGAAGACTGTACTGTCCACCTATAGTCAGTCCTTCGAGACTTAAGAACCACTATAGGCCAAACAACAATGAATAAACATGAGTGTGAAAATGAAGCACAAAACGTTAAGGAAAGTACTCTTCCGCTGTGGCAAATAAGTCTTTATTGAAAACATATGCACACACTTGTAAGCACTAAATTTTAAATAGCATGACTAACCGAAAGTAATGTTATGCTGGTTCATCATTTTTAGCTTCTTGTATACCGAGTACCAACAATTTAAAGTGGTACAAAGAATAAATCTGCTTGGCTCAGTTGTCACTGTCCAAACAAGAAGCAGCAAATTAGCAGAACAAACATTTAAAAATCTGAACTAATTAATTAATAATAAGGCTCATCTAACTTTATAAAAATCCTGGACTACAGAGTAAATAAATGTGCACTGCTTTTATTTGTGCATTTATTTATAGCACACACTATATATTTTTTAAAATTATAAAATTGGTGTATGCTTAATGCAATAAATTATAAAATTTTAAAAAATTCCATAGGAAGGACAAAAGTCACTCAAAATCCTACCCCATAGAGAACAGAGAAATCTTCACTCTTAAATAATTTTTGTGTCTTTCTTGTCTGTGTTTCAAAAATCAGATGTAGGTTTAAAAAGAATATATGGTTATATTATTATAATTTACATAAGTACTATAATCATAATATAATTTATATAAATATTATACATTTGTGCCATAGTATATGAAATGTTTATAAATAAAAATGGTTATTATTCTATACATATTATTTTGTGGTTCTTTTAAAAAATGTAATAATTCATTGTAAATATGTTGCCACTACAACAAAACTTCTACAAAAAAGTTTTTTATACAATTTGATTTTTAATGGCTGCAAGGTTTTCCACCCTGCAATATACCATAATCATTATTTGTTTTTAGTTGTGTTATTTTGGAACTTGTACTAAGAGTCTACTTTTCCTTTGTTTAAAGGGGAACGCAGATGAAAATGACTTAATATTGCATTTAAGCACGGGTTAAGCGGTGTGAATCCACATACTTGCACTAGAAATTGATTCCATGTAAGTGATGCCTATAAATATAGGAAAAGTTAGTTCTACACAAGAATTACCATTCTTCAGATTTTGGTGTGTTTTTTTTTTTGTTAGCAAACAGGGTTTTCTTTTAAACCTAGAATATCTAGCCACAAGAAGAGTTTCGAACTAGTGAGCTTTGAATTAATTAACAATTTAAAAAAAAATCTTGCCAAAAATCTCATTCCCTTCAGTAATTTAATTGTGAGGTAAGTTGATGAACATAATGGACCTGTAGTAAGTATGATTTGGGGACCCCCTCAGCTTTAACCATCACTCATTGGAACACCTAATCTCAAAAGAAACACGCACTCAATTATCTCAGGAACTCTGGTCACAAGACATGGTCCCAGTTTTTGAGGATGATATGAACGAATAAGTCGTAACACTACACAAGGTATGAAAAAACACCTTTCCTTCAGAATCACAGGTAGTGCTCCGATCAAAGGCATTTCCCAGGATTCTCTACTTACATTTATTATCTGTTCTATCTCAACTTACAGTATCATGAGACACACTTTTAAATGAGCTCCTCAAGATGTTAATCTAAATTAATCTGTTATATACAAGGCTCAAATATTTCACAGTAATCTTAGTGACACAATGCGGAGATACTGCCAATGAAGGCTCTTTAAGTTAAACGTAGGTTAAGCCTTTTTATGTTACAGCGCACAGTCCTGGAAGAAAAGGTTTGAATACCTAGCCTTCCTAATGATAAACAGTCACCTGGGGCCTCAGTCTGTATCTTTCTGAAATGCATGACGGGAAAGCATGTTTCAACAGGACTGCATCGTGGAATGAAGTCTGACTTTCCAGTGACTTTAGGTGGTGTTTTTGTCCTTGGCAACTCCCCTAAAAGACTCTGGACTTCAGTCTGAAATCTTTAAAGCCTTGTAATTTTTTTCAAGTGTTCTAGAACTTTAACCCTCTTATTTCTTTAAAATCAAAATAAACTAAAAACTTTTCTAAAAGGAAAAAGTTTTATTGCTGGGTCTTTTTCCAACTACAAAATAGTATAAATAGGTCCAAAATATACTAAAAACACTCAATTTATCCCACACAGTAAATCACAGAAATGACAGCTCTCAATAGATAATTTTTGGATATATCTACTTAATTGAAGTGCCATATTCACATCCTTACAGTTTTAGCCACAAAAATATACATGCTTAGTTTATCTATTAAACAATTTAAAATAAGACATATACAACTTTTAGACAAAGATAATCATTTTTCCCCTCCTTATAATGTGTAAACCACAGTCTTTTCAAATTTGTCTCCATGTTTCGACAGAATTGTCTTTACAATGATTTACTGTTTCCTATGAAGGGTATCAGAGGAGGTTACAGTTTAAAACAGATCACACATAACAAAGGTTTTTTAAACTGAACCGATAACATGTTGACTTCTGGTAAGGGTTATGATTACAGGAAGAGAAGTGAAAGATCACAGGAGCCTATACATAACAGTTGATGATAAAGTCATAGAGAAAGTAGAGGACTACTGACAATAATGAGGGCTAGTCCCAGGATCTTTTCATTTTTTATAATTTTGCTGATAACTAATATATATATATATAATTTTTAGTTGCAAAATCAAATACACATGAAATTTACCATTTTAACCACTTTAAGTGCACAGTTTAGTACTAAGTATATTCACACTGTTGTGCAACCAATCTTTAGAACTTTTCCATCTATCAGAACTGAAATTCTATACCCATTAAATATCTCCCCATTTCTCTCTCCCTGCCCAGACTCTGGCAACCACCCTTCTGCTTTCAGGCCT